GAAACATGTCAGACACACAGGAGAAGGAAGTAGTGTCACCACATCTCTCTTCCTTCTTACTTATGTTCAGGTCTTGTCCGAAGATGAGCGACGACATGAGGTTTCCCCACACGGCCGATGACTGGAAGATGAAGAAGAAGATGCCGAAGTATCGGTTGATCATATCGGGGCCCTTCCTGCCTTCCTTGGCGGCCTGAGCGTTCCCAGAGATGGTCAGGTAGGTGCATTTGGCCGACCACAGGGGAGAGCCTCCCAAACCCAGGATCACAGAGGTGGGCATGAGGGTGTACCTGAGCCGAGGGGAAAAGTTACTGGAGTGTGGGATCAGTTTTCACCTCTGTGTCTGTGGATTGGTTGGTTTGTTCGGTTCTGAGCTGGATTACACAAAAACAACTGAGAGCAAATCAAGAAACCACACGGAGGGATGCATTATGGGTCAGGAAAGAAGTCGCTGAGTTTTGGATCCAGATCAATATTTATAGTTTTCAGCCTTTTCTCTCTCGGAGGTGTGAGATTRTTTACCATCCTGGGTAGAGGTTTSCCAGGGAGTAGGAGACGTAGCAGACCATCCCGACGACGATGGTCCATTTACAGCCCAGATTTTTGATCATGATCGGCGGCAGGAACATGGAGGAGACGATGATGGAGGCGTAGATGACGCTCAGAGAGGCCACGCCMATCCCCGCCTCCRCATTCAGACTGCTCTGCAAGTTTGAAAAAGCAGAAAACATTTATTTGAACTTCATAAATTAAAACCTATGAAATGTATTTTGAATAACTCGAAACACTGAACCGTCTTTTAATGTTTAAAYTTGATGAYAAATGTTTCGACACTGATTTTGATCACGAGGCTGATGATTTTACGTCACATCRTTTAAAAAAATTATTAATTTATCTTCACTGAGAGATTWAGCGCACATATGTTGTGTCTGATATAATTAGAACTATAACGAGAATAGAAAGTTACACAAATAGTCTGGAACTCAACTTGTTTTTTATCTTGAAGGTTTATTAAGAGACTGAAAACTGATTTCATMTTATTTTAAGAGCAAACACAGCGACAGGTTATATAGAAAGAGGAAAATAATATAAAAGTGATTTCAAAATCCGTTATCTTCTTTGTTAAATTTAGACAAACTCTGCACTGATGCATTTAAATCCTTAAATCTGTTGATTTACCCATAATCCCAGTGATAATAAGACATTCAACAACATGATAAGTTCAGCTGTTACCGACCTGTAAACTCTGCAGGCCCAGGTACGCAGTGAACAGGAACAGAAACCCCACAGACACCACCAACACATTCTTGAAGTTGCGGCTGATCATGGCTGCGTCAGGAGAAGAAACTTCACCTTTAAAAAAACAAATCAGGATCAACAAAGTCACACAGCAGCTGAACGGCTCTGAGAAACGTCTCTGCTGAAAATGACTGTTATAAACTCAAGTGCTGGATCAAAGTCCAGCTCACACACACACACACACACACACACACACCCACAATCCAGTTGTGTATATTCCCGCTTCTCCTCTTCCTGTTTGTATTCCAGTTCGTCTTCTCCTCTGTGTTGTGTTGTGTTGTGTTGTCATGTTGTCGTCGTCACATCTACACTCATGTACAGGAGCAGTGGCTCAGAGCAAAGTGTTATTTCTCGTCGGTTTCTTTCACAACGTGACGGCTCCTTGTTGCTTCTGCAGACTTTATTCTCGGGCACCAGGTGCAGGAGGCTCTCGCTCGCACATCTGCATTCACGCACACACCTCCGAAGATTCTCCGGAGGTGCGAGAGCTTCGGAGGAAGTGCTCACCTCGCTGTTTGTGCTTCGGCAGCAGGAGAAAAGAGAACATGCAGCCGAGCTGTGGCGACTGATACCTCATGTTGCTATTTTTAATCAGTGTGCTGGTGCACAAGTGTGATCGCTTTCAGTCTCTGGAACTCCTCCCAGTTACTGTGTGCACATGTGTGTGTATGTGTTATTGGTGAAGGAGAAAAGGAATAATAACACAAGCTCTCACAGTTTGATGTGATAATGAAACAAAGGTCACGATTTCTGGATCTCTGGTCGACGGACAGAAATAACTTCTCTTTAAGTATGAAGAATTTGCCGTGCTTTGTATTTTAAGGTTCTGGACGTTCAGACAGAAAATCCCATTTTGAGATATCGATTCAGGATCTGAGGAATTCTGATTGACAAGAAAACGATCTGCAGACTCACTGATGGTTCAGATAGTGAACAGTTTTATTGTATTTCTGACCGACATAAAAATGAAGAACCTGTCTCTCTTTAAAGAACCTCACAGAAGATGCACAGAACCGTCTCCTGCAGAAAAAAGGTTCTTCGGTTGGTGAAGAACCAGAGACTTTTTCTGAGAGTGCTAAAGATTATTACACGTGTTTCACACTAACCTCGGCGGCTTCTGTCTCATGAGGTATCCGGTGTCAGATGGTAGTGATGATGAATCCTCGCTGAAGTAATTTTTGTAAATAATATTTAAGTTTCCTCAGAGTGAGGAACTCCTCAGGAGCTGGACTCAGTTCTCGGAAGTCGTAGCTCTGAGCTTGTTGTTCAATGACTTCAGTGTTTTCTCATCAGCTGGTTCTTACCTCTTCAAATATGCTCAGTGCCTCTTGTTTACTGTTCTTCCCTGGAATCATCTCAACAAACACCTGAAGGATTTATTGAGCATTTACTCACCAGTTTGCAAACAATGCACAGTTTCGTATCTTCTGGTTTTAGCTGTTTCTTCTTGTCGCAATGTTCACGTGTGAAAACAGATTCTTTGATTCAAACATTATCAAAGAGCGTTTGTTCTTTCGGCTCGTCCAGTCCAGCCGGCTTCTTCGCAAACATGTCGCCACTGTTTTGTTTAAGTAAACTTCCAGATCTGCTCTCCCGCTACATTCCTTGAAAGTCACCATTCTAGTTATTGATGTTGGCGGCAGTGGAGTTTCTGACACACCCTGCCCATCACCTGAGGTTCACAGCCTGGAGGACATGTTGTTATTACCTCAAACCAAGAATGTTCTCTGGTCACCTCCGTCCGCTTGGTTCCACCAACCTGCTCGTTGTGTTTTTTTTACCTTCTTCACAATCGCGAGATAGGAACTTTGATATTTTCTTTAATTTCCCAGTGTTTTTGTCGACACCATCGACACCGACGTCAAACTCTAGACAGTTTGACGTCACCAAGGCCTTTTTGTTCACGTCACGTTTATAATGTGATTGACTTGTGTGAAACTAAAATGTCAATCAAATGAAGAGTTAAAGTTCTGTTTATGTTTGACACGTAATGAGATGGCAGTAACCTGGTATCTGGTCTTCGAGCATTTAAGATTTCCACCTTCAATAAATAAATAAAGTTCATTATCATAAAATGGTCGTAGATGTGATGATGACGCGTTGATCGCCATGACAACACCTTGACTTTGGACCCGTTTACACTGGAATCGACGATCATTGATACGAACCCAGCGTTTCATTGATAAGGTTGAAAACTCGCTCACATGAATGTGTTGAGTCAAAGTTGTACTTCCTGTGTTGTGGTTTTATCTGATGTGGATTTTTTACTGAGCTCTCCACCCTGTTGTTAAGACCCGTTGATCAATGTCCATGCATGTTTTTTTTTATAGTTCTCTAAATGTGTTTTTATGTTTTGAAAGCACACATATAAGTTTTATCAGTTTGCACTTAGTGCTTGTGAAAGGAAGATGTGCACTCAGGCGTCACCGTCCGATAACCTTGATCCAAAGAGATTAAAATAATATCCACCTCTTGAATCTGCTGCTGGAAGTTTTTCTGTTAAAGTTGAGAACCAGTGAAATGATCCGCTTTAGCTTCTGGTCAGATTTGTGCCTGTAAATGTAGAAATATCACAGTTGTTCTAAAACAGAAAAAGAAATCAAATCAAAATGCATTTAGAAATAATTTAATTCAGCCAAAACTTTTCTAAATGACGATTTAAAACGTATTGAAAATAAAACCATTTAAATTAAAAACCTTGATTTATCTTTTTCTTATAAGCACATCTATTTGACCAGCAGGGGGAGCCAGAGGCCACAATTTAATCTGCAAGACCTGGACAGATCCAGAAACACTGCAGATTTCCCACAATTCATTTCACCAAGTGCATCTTTGAGTGGAAGTTAACATTTGACGCAGTGTACAATTAACTAAATAAATAAAAATAAAATATCTGGTTCTACACGTCACACACGTCTGACCTTTCCAGAAAGTGAGAAGTTTGATGGTTGGTTTGGACACACACACACACACACACACACACACACACACACACACACACACACACACACACACACTCTCTGCAGGCCCCTGAGGTAGAGAATTACAGGCATTAGAGAGGCAGACAGACGGGTATGTCTGCTCTGCTTCAGATATGAGCTGAAAGCTCCGTGAGTACAACTGCTGAGGGCTTCAATAATGTGTGTGTGTGTGTGTGTCCCAGTTAAAACTACAATAAATTGTAATGTTGGCAACTTTTAAAATGTTTAGGAACAAGAAACTAATTTGAAATATTTATTTTATATTATATAATGCAGCACCATTGTGGCCATTAATAATCTAATAATAATAATAATAATAATAATCTGCACACATTCATTCATTCATTCATCCAATCACGTGGCAGCAGTGCAATATTCTGCAGTCGAGTGGTGTCACCCTCTGCTGGTCATTTAAGAGAATACAAGTTTCAGGCACTTAGCATTGGCTTCACTTTTCGGACCCTGAGTCTGTGTTTATATAGAACTGTGAAATAACTCCTGTGCTCCAGCTCTCAGACAAAACGTCACAACAGGAATCTGTTGCTGCTGAATGTGACTCAAACCAGGGAAATGAGAGAATAACGGGAGGATGGTCTTCCTCTCGTTTTCTTTCTCTCGACGTCTCCGAGGCGAAGTTGTTCTGATGCCTCTGAGGCCGGAGAGAGCTGAGCAGGAAGAATTCATTATTCCACAGTGAGCTCGGTCACACTCACTAATCCCAGACCCCTACCTGTCCGACGGCTCCAGAGTCCTGGGAACAAACTCTCTCTCACGCACTCACTTCTTCTCTCTCTCTCCCTTTCTTACTCAGACACACACACACACACACACTCTCTCTCTCTCTCTTTCTCTTCCTCCCTTTTCTCACCCAGTCCTCAGGCTCTTTGGTCCAAATCCCTGCTGGAATCTCAGACCTGTGTGTGAACCAGACTTCAGACTGACTGATATGAGTTTGTAAAGAGCGATTCTGATCCCTCTGGACTGAAGACGCCATTTATCATGATAACATGTGTATGTGTGTGGGTGTGTGTGTGTGTGTGTGTTTATGTATGTGTGTATGTAAGAAAACAGAAAAAAGAGTAGCGTAGTTTTTCAGTTTCCTTCGTACAGAGACAAATCCCTTTGAGTGTTTTCAGTCTATAGAAGCTGCTCATGTATAAATGTGTGGATGAAGGTATAAGGACAAAGATCTCAGGTGAAGGTGAGAGGTTATCTCCCACAGAGGAAACCAGCACACCAACAGACGTCACTGGTTTCCTTCCTCTCACGGCAACAATGAGCCACAGAACAGAATTATACAAATCTACCGATAGTAAGAATCTGCCCAAGAAAAGGCAGCGGACAATATATTTTATATTTTTCAAAGATAAAGATATGAAAATGACCTGTTCTAGAACATCCTTCAGTGTCAGTGTGTGTGTGTGTGTGTGTGTGTGTGTGTGTGTGTGTGTGTGTGTGTGTGTGTGTGTGTG